TTCGTTTTTGATGTGTTTCATGATTCCGAGACTATGATCAAATTGTAGTTTCTGTTACATGGCGTTGACCAGCTATGTCTTCCTAAAACAAACATTGTGCCCGATCCCACATATGCGGAGGCTGGGTAAAATTTATCCATTAGCTCGAGTGTTCGCGCTCGGGTTCCCCATGTTAAATAAGCGACCTCGTGTCACAACCTAACCCAGTGGCAGGTTTCTGGTAAATACCGAGACAAATTTCATTTATTTTGCTACCTCATCCGGCAGATGGTGTATTGGATTTCTGACTCTTTACGTGTATCGTAATTTGTGGCATTGGACCTGCAAATCGTGATTTTGACATTTCTTTCTGCTCCTGGATCTTCGAGTTTGGACCTGCAATTTGTTTACAAAGAGATATAATTTCTAGGTCTATGGAATTATTTGCTACCTGTCATATCTTTAAAAATACTGGAGAGCGCTAATCTCCATCAAAATACTGATACATCAGCCTCTTTAGTGTTTTCAGCAAACTCTTCGAGGTTATGATCAAGAAGAAGATTATTGATCACAATAGAATAAACAACATTCTCACCGACAAGCAGTATGGATTTCGCTCTTCTAGGTCCACTGCTGATGTCCTGCCATAGCGTACAGGATCAGTGATGTACTCAATAATACATTCATCACAAGAGCTATCGCTTTAGATATCTCAAAGAGCTTTGACAGGTGCAGGTTGGGCGTTGCAACATAAACGTTCCAGCTATGAAATCATCAACTCCTTCCTAAAAAGTACCTCCTTGAAGGTTGTTATTAATTGTCAAGTTTCTGGAGTATATGTGAGTAACACAGGCGCCCCACGAAGCTCGCTACTTGGACTTACCCCTTTTCTGATTTATAAAATCCAACTGCCTAAGAACATTTTCCAACTATTAGTAAATATCTATGCATATTATACCATAGTTTATGGGCGCACGTCCAAAGATTTTGATGGCAACATACTGATTTCTCATCTGATCTAGCCCGAACAGCTCAATGGGGTGTGGAACTGGCTTGTAACTTTGAATAACTCCAAAATCATACTAGTATCTTTTAACTGATCAGCCCCTTAATTCTCACCAGGCATAATCAATAAATGGAGAAGGTACGAAACATGTCAGTGAATGCAAGACAGATGATAGATTCCATTTCTTAAAATGGGGTATATTTGACTTACCTCGATCTGCTGTGTCACATATGTACCAAGAATACATGACGGAAATAATTAACGCCCAACGTAGACAGCGCACAAGTCGACCGAAGGTCCTTAAGTATTGCCATCGGAGGTGTCTCGTTTGAATTGTCTGCGGCAACACTGGCTCAATTCAAATGCAATGCAAGAATTAGATCAGGGTGGTGTAACCTTTTGATTCCATGCGCCAATATTATGTACGATTAATTTAAATGCGCCACACAAACATTCACTTCCTTTCAGTACGTGAGTAGAAGTGGCTTAGTTTCTTTTCATCAAAAGGATGCAATGCGCCACTTGTAAGCATCCAATGCGCCATTTGTGGCGCATGCGCCACAGATTGGCCATCCTTGAGTTAGATGCATATCTAGCGGGTCAAGTTAGTTTTTATTAGCTTCTATGGAATATGAGAGAATATAAAATCCAAGTGGATTAAAAATCTTAGCCCAAAATTCCAATCATTTGACCTAGCTCTAACAGCTCAATGGGGGGTGGGGGGTGGAGGGTTAGTTTGCAGCTTTAAAAGCGATGCTAATCACTTTTCATAATCACCGAACATGGATTTATCACCAGTCATTATGAATGGTTACACCAGGGGTTCCCAACCTCGCTTGACCCATGAAACCTTTTTACCATTTGTCAGAATGCCTCCCCGCTCTTTTTCAAGGTGACATCCCAGATAAACGAAATTATATAATTGCTCTCTTCCCCCATCTAAACTTATTGTGGTCACAATTCACTCCTGAAAATCGCAATTTCCCCCCTGAGGGTGTGAATTTCAACCCTTTTGAGAACGCATGGGCTACACTTTGAAAGAGGCTCCGTGCTTCTAACGTTTTTTGGACTCCATTTTTCCTTTCCAACCAATTCACCCAAAGCAAGGCGATAATGCCACTAAGACGCAAGGAGTTACTGGTAATGAAAGAGAATGAAGACTTTAGAAGGAACCGGAACACCAGTTTTAAACGAGAAACAAGGGATAAACCTCTACATTTGTTCAAAAAACCGGGAGAAGTGTGAACTGGATAATAGGCAAAGCTATCTATTTCTGTTTAAACTCAAGAATTCATTTATCTGATCCATCGCAAAAATCGATGACCGGTTCCTTATATCGCTTCAGAAACTACTTACCATTCTCTATCTTTACAAGAATCAGATCTGACCAAAACATCGGCTATTAATATATCTCCCCAATCATCTCTTTCCAGCCACGATAGATTTCAAAAGCGATTCAAGCGACTATGTAGGTGATGACTAATCTTTCGTACTACACCCCCCCCCCACACACACACTTTTCCCACGAACGCAACATCCCAAGCCTATCGCTATTTCCCTGGAAAAAATTTCTCATCAGCTACATACCTTAGTTACACCAGTTCATACGTTTACAGGCCGACATTCAAAGTAAACAACGACATACCACCCACATTCCATCCGTTTTCCATTATTTAGAATGAAGTTTCAATCGGACAGGATCTCTTCAAGTGCTACATCTTTATAGAATAGATTCCCTAGAGGATGCTTTCTTCAACCAATACAATCTTAAACCTCTTCAAATCAAAACTGAACCGTTATCTATCCTACATATCCTCATAATCTACAATTCTTACGTCCTTAACAACACAATTCAGCAATCCTTCTACCGTGAGTGGCTCTTGCGCCTTTCATTGAGTGAACCATAGCGTAGAAAAAAAACACTTCTTCAATTTATTGGCCGGAACGTAATGACTCAAATTGCAAACCTGGGAATATCAGTTTGAAAAATGACTAGAATAACAACGATACCTCATCTCCGGAGATGAGGAAGAAAGCTGGAAAATATATCGGCCGAAGTGTAATGACCGAAACACCAGACCTGAGTATACCAGTATGAATGATTCATAGAATAACAACAATACTTCAACTCCGGATATCAGATAATGAAGAACAATGAAGAATATATCGGCTGAAAGAAAATGACCGGAACAGCAAATCTGCGTATAGCAGTGTGAATAATTCATAGAATAACAACAATAATTGATCTCCGGAGTTCAGACAAGGAAGAAGACCGAAGAATGTATCGACCGAAACATAATGACCCAAGCAACAAAGCTGAGTATAGCAGTTTGAATAATTCATACAATAACAACAATAATTGATCTCCGGAGTTCAGAGAATGAAGAAGAATGGAGAAGGTATGTACCGAAACGTAATGACCCAAACAACAAAGCTGGGTCTAGCAGTTTGAATAATTCATAGAATAACAACAATAATTGATCTCCGGAGTTCAGACAGTGAAGAAGGCTGGAGAATATATCGGTCAAAACGTTATGACTGAAACAGAAAAACTGAGTATGCAAGTTTAAATAATTCAGACAATGCAGAAGGCCAGATGATATATAAGGAAAATGGATATGAGGATAGATATTTGAATTATTTATATATTAAAGACAATACTTCAAGCACTCCACTGAATTTCTGCTTCTGGTTTCTTTTCTATATTGTTTTTAGTTATTTATAACATATTTGTATCATTAGGTGTTGCATATCGACTGTTTCACTGGTTTGATTAAGTCGCTTTCATTAGTCTTCTTGCAGGTTAAATCGTGTCATGGCTTGCATATTTTCTGCATTAACGCTGTATTGTGCTTCATGCTTCACAACAAAAACATGCATCTCGATGCTTCTTCTTCATATACCATGTGCCATCAGAATGCAGGCAATCATGGCTCTCTGCAACATTTCCAGTCTTCTGTAGCTCTTAATAATGTGATACTATTTGTCGTTACCGCGGTAAAACGGAAGAGAGTTTTGTTAAAACATAAGAAACTGTTATGTGTTGAAAGACATTGAAACAAGAAGGGTTATTACCAAAAACCCGTGGGAAGAATTGAGGATTTAATTCACACATAAACGACTTGAATTGTATGTCGACCAGTTTGAACAATGGAAAAGTTATCCAGATTCAGGGGGCAATGTTGAGTGACACACAGCTGCAAATGCGGGCTGGAATGTAAAAAAAAAAAACAACTAGATTTTGTAAACAACTGAATTTGGAACTAAATTTTCCTGGACAAAAATAGTCGAGGAAGCAGGCGCAGGTAAAACATCAAGGCGGATGGAGGAACCCCCCACCCTAGGCTTACTGAAGTGGTCGGTGAGAGGATAATAAAAGAGAGGGTGGCGAGAGGGGATTCCTAAAAGTTATGGCGCAAGCCTGAGGGGATTCACCGAAATGATACTACCGCACCATATCACAGTGCCAGTTTGGACGAATGTCCATAAATACGAATGCGCGAAGCGAATTAGTCAGTACAAGAGAGAAGAGGGGTAGAAGAGACGAAGACAAGGCCAGAGTAAGAGAGAGAGAGAGAGAGAGGGGGGGAGGCCCACGAGATTATCTGCCGACTGAAGCCTTTTGCCGAACCTTACCAACAACAGCAAACCCGATTTTGCCAAGTCAACAATAATATTGCTTCCGATTTAGACGCGGGTTGGGCTGATAATTAATTGCATGCGAATTTTGATATAAACCGATATGGACTGATATAAAAACAGTATTTACTTTTTTACAGTTTATTCGAGTGTTATTTATTTATTTGCTGTCCGTCTTCGCCCTGCTTGGACGAAGATACTTGCGGCAATTCGATCTTGGCTTTTTTATATGATCTGAAAAAAATCAGAACATGGGATAAATTTAGCTCGGGATTGAAGCGGTCACTTCAGCGACCAGCCACGGTGTTGAAATTCTTGGACAACCGGAAGGGTGCTGTACAATAAACTTTGTCATTCCTCTTAAGCTCTTTAGGCTTACAGCCACATCACGTTGAAATATCGGTTCCAATACGATCAGCGAAGTTAAGCAATGTGAGCCTGGTTAGTACCGAAATCGGTGACCGCTTGGGAAAACCAGATACTGTAAACTTGGGTGTGCGCTGGTGTAACGGATAATAGCTTGGAATTGTTAATCGTAGGATCGAGTTCCAATTCCCGTTGGATTCGTTTATTCACTTACGCGCAAATATCCTTGGGGAAAATATGAATCCACCTCTTCTCCCCCAGCTATGGGTTAATTAGTAAAATTTCTATCGCCCAAACCATTATTATCTCAAAGAAAAAAACGGCATTGAATAACCCATAGACTCTATAGGTTATTCAATGACGCCTTTTGGATTTCTGTTATGGAAGAGTATAAGTATAGAGTAATAACTCTAAGTAAAAAAAAGCCATCAAGATCATACTGCAATTCTCAACTTCGTACCTATGTAAACTGGGATTTTCTTACCTAAACAACATTAAAAATAAAAAACGTGAAAGACTTAAAAATCTTGAAGAAGTGTTAAGAGTGTGTCTCTCTCACATTTGCCCAAATATTGCAGCAGTAGTCAAGAAGCACCAGGCACAACTGTCCCATTGACATTCTCAATTATTATTTTATACCCGATATTGAATACAGGATATGTTGATTCATGTGAATAAAAATTCTTCTTATATAATATTCTTTGTTTTTTATTATTTTATTGTAAAAAGCCTTTATGAGTGGAAAATGTTTATTTTTTGTGATAGGTGTGCCGCGAAAATTTAAAGAACTCAATAGTGTGCCGCCATATAAAAAAGATTGGGAAACACTGCCATAGAGGTTGATATGCCGGTAAGCAAAAACAACCAAACAACCTAAACCCTGTTCCACCTTCCATTTACCCAAGGTCACTAATTATGTTATACGTCGAGTTCCTCTATTCCCCTTACCGTCAATCTGTCCTATGAGTATCAGATTATGTGTCCTAGAAATTTCAGCTGTCCCTTCCTCATGTTAATTACGCTGTTCCATTTTGTTTCCATTTTCTCTAAAATTTTGTCGTTGCTCACATATTCGGGCCATGGTATCTTTAGCATCCTACTGTAGAACTACATTTCTGTTGCATCAAATCTTTTTCTTCATCTATGAGAAGATTGTCTAGCATTCGCTGCCATACAGGAGGACAGATATCACATAACGGTTCAGTAGTCTTTTCATAGCATTTCAAGTTCCTTTAAAATAAATATTCTTTCTGTTGAATTTCACACTTCAATCATTTCTTCTTCACTGATGTATAAGGCCTTCTTTATTTTACAACTTTTCTTTTCGTCACATTCTTTTTAATAATAATAATAATAATAATAGTAATAATAATAATAATAATAATAATAATAATAATAATAATAATAATAATAATAATGTCATGAAGCCATTTTTGACCTTAGATCTCTAGTTGTGGCCCGGAATGAAATGTGTACACAACAGAAATCAAGGGAAATAATAATAATAATAATAATAATAATAATAATAATAATCTATTTATGTCGCTAGATAAATATAGCACCCTGTTTGGTTAAAATCCAGTCCTTTGGAGGCAAGACTGGGGTGACTTCTTCAGGGCTTAGGTCCGGGAGATGATATATGGAGGCCGTGTGCTACCCAGATCATATGGTCCCCTTTGTTTCCCGTGCACTTAGGGCTGGCTTGGCTGCAGGAGTTGTCGGAAAGCTTGTCAGGATGTGGGTATAAGATCAAAGATAAAAGAACAAATCATCTATTCTTTATGGATGCAAGAAATAATGATCAATCGGAAGGGCTTTTAAAGACTGTGAAAAGTTTCATCCATGATATATGCATGGAAATTGGGCCAGATAAATGTGCAAAGGTCATCTTCGAGAGTGCTTATTAATAGCGAGAGTACAGTTCTTGATTTGGATACTGTGTCCAGGAAAACACTTACAAGTATCTGGGTGCGAAAGAAGGAAATGTAATACAGCATTCAAAGATGGAAGAAAGTCCTAAAAGGAATGCATCAAGTGAGTGCTTGTAGTAATGAAAACTGAATTGAATTCGAAAAATATAACAGTGGTTATTAACACTTTCCTATCCCAATTGTAACTCAGAGTTTTAATAAACTGGAACTTAAAGGAACTTGAGAGAATTTATGAAAACATTCGCAAACAACTTACATTCAATAAAATGCCCCACCCTAAGGCAGATGTTGACCGATTGTATCTTGGGGTAAGGACATGATTCAACTGAAATTGTGTTACAAAGTTTCAAGAATGGGTCTTGAGATGTATCGTACAGTGATATAAGATCAGGTGTTACAACTCGTAATGGGACATGACAAAAGTAAAGAAACGTTATTCTATATTAAAAGAATCTCATAAATATGCAAGAGAAGTGCGGATAGATCTTGTGAAAAGCGCCGAAGTAGACATAAGTGTCACAAAATCAGAAAGAAACTGAAAAAAGAAGCGAAAAAGTTATCCTAAAAAGAAAATCTCTATCTATAAAAGGCAGGATGTGTGTGTGTGTGTGTGTGTGTGTGTGTAACGAATGCACGGCCGCAATTTTCGACGGATTTGCACCAAAATTTACATGCACATGCTCCAAGTTAGGAAGAAGGCCAAGACCGACTTTGCATTTCCCAACTTCCATCGATAGTAGAAATAATCAATTTTTCATGCTTCTACGGCAGTTTTCATGTAGTTTGCAGACATTTTCTAGTGGCCAGACTGAGAGCCTATAGCTGGCTGCCACGAATAAGCAGGAAGATTCTAGTGGCCAGCGTGAGAGCCAACAGCTGACTGACACGAATATTAAGTAGCATACTAGCATGCAAAAAAAAACGATAGCTGCATTCGCCACGAGTGGGAAAAATTTAAATCTGCATGGCACTTTACTCCAATTGGCTCATTCGCTTGCTTAAACACAACGTTGATTCTGATTCCGCAGAACTTGGTTGGGTGTGAAAAAGTATTTGTTGTTAACATTCTTTTTTCATTCGGTTTTTCCAGTTACGAGTCATTTTTAAAGCTGATCGTTTTGTGTTCATTTTGTTTAGTTCTTTTTTCGTAACAGATTTAATGTTTAGTATAGAGCTTAGAAAAAATTCGCAGTGTGAGATAGGCAACAAGTAAGGCATGTAGCAACATCAGCACGGCAAAGGGCGCTCCTTTAGAGGCAAGGAAAGGAAAAATATTTTAAGTCAAGTGATAGCGATTGCTGTATGAGTCGTACGAGTTTTGAATCAAGCACGGGAAACGCCGGGCCATGCTGCTATTAGAAGCTGAAACTAAAAAGCTTCTACATAACCAATTTCTTGTTCGAAGCGAAAATGCTGATGTGGATCAATTCGCAACCCACCAGTGGCTAAGGAGTGCAGTACTTAAGGGTGAGACTGAAGAATTGGTTCTTGCCACACAAGACAAGAGCCTGACTAAACAACTCTACCAAGGTTTTCACAAAAACAAAGCAAATAAAAAGGATCAAATGTTATGAGAAATTTGGGGAGATAATAAAGATTTACTGATACAAGTCATACTAATTAATCCATAGCTGGGGGAGAAGAGGTGGATTCATATTTTATCCTATGGTATTTGCGGGTAAATGAATATAACGAACCCGATTGGAATTGAAACTCAGCTCTCCGATTACCATTACACCAAACTTACAGCACCTGGTATTCCTAAGCGGTCACCCATCTAGATATTGACCAGGCTCAACGTTGCTTAACTTCGTTTTCTCATTCAGATCAGTTATCCATTACACCACAAGAACATCAAAGCTTTCAGCACCTGGTATTCTCAAGCAGTCACCTACCTTGGTATTGATCAGGCTCTCCGTTCTATCTCAATATAGATAGATAGATAGATAGATATTGATTTGTTTCTTTACGGCCTATCAACCTTTTTAAGGTAATTCATAGCAGAAAACATATGTTGCGATTGTAAGTTTTTTTTAATGCTTTTCTGATACAAATCTTACTATTTAGCCCATAGCTAGGCGGAGAAGATCCATACCATTTCCGCGGGTTATTTGCACGTAAGTGAATACAAAGCGCCCAACTGGAATTGGAACTCGGCCCTCCGGTTTCCAATTCCGAGCCGTCATCTATTAGACCACCGGCACATCCAAGCTTACAGCACCTGGTATTCCCAAGCGTTCACTCATCTAGGTACTGACCAAGCACATCATTTCGGTGATCGGACGAGAACCGTTTTTTTCACGTGATATGGCCGCAAGTAGATAGATAAATAGAAACAATGCGATATAGATAGATAGATAGATAGATATGAACAGATTGAGATAGATAGATAGATAGATAGATAGATAGATAGATAGAAAGATATGAACGGTTTGACATAGATATAAACAGACTGAAATAAATAGATAGATAGATAGATAGATAGATAGATAGATAGATGCGAACAGACACGAATATAGATAGATATATGAATTGACTGTGATAGAAACAATGCGAGATAGATATAATGCGATAGATAGATAGATAGATAGATAGATAGAATTACATTTTTTATATTCGGATTATAGTCCTGATATTTGTTGTTGTTATCACAACTTTTCGGCCGTTGTCTCCCCACACCGAATAATAACAACAAAGATGAGGACAATAGTCCGAATACAAATAATGTAAATAATGATAACTTCTCATCCAAGAAATACAGACAGTGATAGAATTGTATTGTTCAATATTTACTGTGGTTATGGAGTGTTCATTATCGCGGAAAGAGATTTTGTAGATGCAAACTGTAGAAAAAGACATAAACACTACGTGATTACAAATAGTTTTACGCATTAAACCAGAATTTCTCAAACTGGGCGATATCACCCACCGGTGGTCGATTTCATCTGTTGGGTGGGCGAATTAGCAACTGAACAGAAAATGGTGGGTGACTGGTAATTTTAGTGGGCGATATATGATCATGTGTATTAAATATGTAGTTCAACATATGCTGTCCGAAAAAAATATTCAAAGGAGATATGCAAAGAACCTGTATAAAAGATTAAAATAAAAGATAAAAACAAGAGGCTAATTAAGAATAACTGTGTGACACTCCGAGATCAGATATAAACATCCCCGCAAGCAACGAATATTTTGGTATTTTCTATAGTTTTGAGAAGAGTCATTAACATTCTGATAATTCTTCAGACGAAATAATATTTTTCGGATCTAAATCAGATATGGGAAGGTCAAGAACAACAAAACATTTTCGCTGTATTTTTATTAGTTGCTAGTAGTATATTTTTGATTTTATAATTATCAAGAAAAGTTAACTCTAACCCTATCGACTAACGATAGATAGCGGCTCGGATTGAGGAATCGGAGAGACAAGTTCGAATTCCAGTTCGAATTCCAGTCGAATCCATTATATTCACTTACGTACTAATACCCTTGGGAAAGGTATGAATCCTATTCTTCTAGCCCCCATCTATTAGTAAATAGCAGCACAGACTGTGTTCTATAGCCTTGGATAGTAACTGGTCTAGGAAAAAGACTACTCTGAATTCAAAAAACCTGCAGAGGGTCGTTTGGGGACCTTGTGGCACGTAGTGCACCAGGGCTCTGTATTCAGCCCTTCAAAAAGTGTGGTTGGTTCTGCACAAAGCCTTTCACCACTTTAATCAAATCATATGTGCTGGTGTCTGGGCTGTCGGTTCCTAGGAACTGAGCTGCTTAACCCTCATACATCGAATACAAAGGGAGAGTCCACCACACACACACACACACAGACAAACAGACACACACACACACACAGACACACAGACACACATATATATATATATATATATATATATATATATATATATATATATATATATATGAAGAAATATACTCTTAAAAGGTGTGCTATATTTATGGGATAAAGTGCTCAATATCAGAGATAGAGCGTGTGTAAATATAAAAGTGAATATTGAAGTCAACACTGCGTCTAGCAGGAAACAGCCTGTCGCCTCTAATGTTGACTTCAATGTTCTTATATATATATATATATATATATATATATATATATATATATATATATATATAAAAGTGAACATAGAAGTCAACACTTAAAGGCGACAGTCTGTTTCAGACCTGACGATTACATCTAGTATGAAACAACCTGTCGCCTCTAAGTGTTGACTTCAATGTTCACTTTTAAATTTACACACGCTCTATCTCTGATATTGAGCACTTTATCCCATAAATATAGCACATCTTAAGACTATATTTCTTCATATATATATATATGTGTGTGTGTGTGTGTGTGTGTGTGTGTGTGTGTGTGTGTGTGTGTGAGTGAGTGAAAATATATAGAAAATAGGAAAGAACTGGTTAGGTAAATAATCCAAACTCCCTTAGTATTTTAGTTATTATTTTTTAAAAATAGTGCTCGATACAAAAGTAGAGCATAAATATAATTATTTATTTAAAAATATGATTCCAACTCGCGACATAAGAGGTCTCATGTTTCAAAACAAGAGCCGAAAACTTCAATATAATTATTTGAATTAAATTGAGTTAAAGTAAGCTCTGTTCCATCTTTTTTTGGAATAACGTATTTCTGAAATTTACGTGTTTTAATAATTGAAATCAAAATTTCCATGGTAACAGCTAGGGCGAATTGTTTAAATTGGGTAGGCGTGTGTTGGGTGTTAATAATAAGCATCAGTATAGATTTACTTTCATAGATGTCAAGTCAGGGTAAGGTGGGGGTGTCTAAATTTGAAACGGAAGATGTTTTAGCCTCGTCTATATATATATATATATATATATATATATATATATATATATATATATATATATATATAGTTTCAAATGGTCTGGTTTGCTTTCGATAGTTCTTTAATATGGTATCAGAAGCAGCATCCGCATGTAACCAATATTTCTTACCACTTTTTGGTATTTTTTTTACTGCAACATAGAGTTATTTTATAAACCAGTAATAAACATTTACCATAGACTTTTCATATGCTTTTAATTATTTACTATATACGTGGGCATTGAAAAATTTTTAAACCATCAGAGCGAAACTGTGTAGTATCCGCTTATGGCATAACTTTCAAGCCGGTCGTAATAATTGGGGAAGGCATGAATCCGTCTATTCTCTCACCAGCTTCGAGTTAAATAGTAAGGTAAACTAAACTGTCTAGCCTTCAGTGGTAACCAGTCAGAAGAAGAAAATCTCAAATCAATGAAAATGGCAGTAAAGACTACTTTAATGTCTTTCAATTGTAGTTCGCAGTTATTAAAGGAAAGTGTGGAGAATCATGACCGTCTACATCCGGAAGAGACATGACGTTCAAAAACGAAATTAAGAATGTTGCTGGTTGCTTGGTTAGTTGTCTATAATAGTATTCCATCGATTCAAAGCAGACGATATTAACAACGTTGCTGCTGCTGCTGCTACTGGATTATTTATTATTTATTAATATGTTCCTTTCTCCCTGTCTTCATTGCTAATTTATGAGGCTTTATTCTTTGTTGCGAAAATCTCTTGCATGATTCAGTCGTACCTGATGAATATGTAAAAACAAACTTAACAAATCACTAAATAAATACTTACTCGCATAAATATATATACCTGTCCGCTCCTGACACACAGGTAAATAAGTGTTCCATCGCACACCCACACATCTCTCTATATACACTCATCCAGGAATATAATGATTTTCCAAGCGCAGCTTAGATGTGGCACAAGGCCGAAATTAGGGGGCACCCAGTGAGAATCGAACTCACTAATCAGTGGTAATTGTTCTAGCGAGACAAGCTTGCTAACCACTACACCGCCTCTCATCCAGGAATATATGAATGTTTCCAAACATTCGAAATTCAATTCGAAAACAAATCGGTCAATTTGACGGTGAAAAAATGTAATGACACTTATATCTAGTTTCGCCTGTTTCTTTCGAAGTACCTCTTTTCCGACACAATGACTAACAAATAAATAAAGGGCTAAGTTCGTTTTCCACGTGATAGTCAAAAGTTGATTATGGCTCTCCATAACTTCCTGTCTTTTCTTGTTCTAAGAAATACTTGCCCCTTTGCAATCTCTCTTCACTTGTGGTTCTTTTTCCACTATTTACTCAAGCTTGTTAAATAGGTTACTCTCTGTTTTTCCCTGATTCTATTGCTTTCAACGTACCCTGTTCGTGTTAAATTCTTCAAGTCTTTTTTTCCTCAGTATATATCCCTACTCTCAATACAAATATGTAAATTTGAATCACAAATTAAAATAAAAAATAAATCGAATAATTCAAATAATAATGAAGAAGGGTTGGAAAATTTAACACACACAGGGTAAATTCAAGGTAAGAGAAACGGAGAGAAACAGTAACATATATAACGAGAATTTAAATGTAGGGCAGAACAGGGAGCTAGAGAGATAGTTAACAGACAAAGACTGCCAAAAGCTACAAAGGATAGGAAGTTGTGGAGAGCCATGATTGCTTATGTTTTGAAGTATAATGTTATTGATGTAGGATATAGTTATTTATGACATATCGTTTGTTATATATACTAATCCTACTGGTATAATGCAAATCAGTACTACCTGCGACATTGTCGGGTTATTGGCAACTAAACCGGTCCACCACTCTTTTCTCTATGAGGAGGGTGGAGTTCTTAGAATCCTTCTGTAGAAATACAAGGTAACTAAAAAAAGTTTTATCCGTTTTTAAAGAAAAAAAAGAAAACACTTCACAGTATGTGTAACTTATATTTAGTTTTCGAAGTAATCGCCATCGGCATCCAGCACCTTCTACCAACGTGTTTCCAGCTGTTCAATGCCCTTGCAGTAGAACTCGGGTTTGACGCAAAGAACTTTGCGCAAGTCTGCTTCATTGGTGAAGGATTTCCCACGAAGATGATTATCCAGGGAGTGGAAGAGGTGGTAATCGGATGGCGCAAGGTCAGGTGAATAGGGTGGATGGCACAAAGTATTCCACCCAATTTGCTGTATGGTATCCCTGAACACTCACGCGACATGCGGCCTGGCGTTGTCATGGAGGAAAAGCACACCTTTGTGATTCACCAGTGCTAGCTCCTTGCGCAATGCCTGTTGCACACGTTTCAATTGCTGCGTGTATAGGTCTCCAGTGACCGTTTGGCCCGTTGGTAGCAGTTCATAATGAACCACTTGACGACCTGTCCACCAGACACAAAGCATAATCTTGCGTGGGTGTATAGGCGGTCTTGCGGTGTGAGGGACAGCATCCTGAGGAGACAACCAATGTCTGG